TCTAATAGCGAGAGGTGGAGCGGCGCGCCGAAAAAAAAGTTATCAAAAAAGCTCGCCACTCGCTGCGTGACAACTTTTTTTCGGCGCGCCGCTCCACCTCTCGCTATTAGATGATGCCCCACCGTTGCCTGCCGAGTCCGGCCTGCCGCCTTCTACGCTCTCATTCGCTCAGACATTAAAATTAATTTCTCGATAACTACTGCGAATTTTGCAAAATGGTATAGGACTTTTCTATTCAGTTTGCCCCGGTCTATCTACCATCTACGGGACATACGGGTATTAGGACACACCCTGTAGATAGTATAGCTAATCGCGACTTTAGTTACGCGCACTGAGAAAAATGCTTTGATTGTATCAACAAGACATGTATGATAGAATGTATTTTGGCTGAACCAAACAGAATTTCTGGTTAGCACGATAGGGCTCGATATTTCATAACCAGAAGTTTGCTAGACTTCGCTACGCATCTGGTAAATCCAGTGAACTCTATACATACTGGAATGAGTGATCTATTGTTCTGGCTGTTGCCGAGAGAGAGGTGCGTTTGGGTGAATCCTTGTCCCCTTCTAGTACTACCTGATTGGATAGTCGCATATAAGTGACGGGAAGAAGGGCGTCACTTATATGCGATTATCCAATCAGGTAGTACTAGAAGGAGACAAGAATTCACCCAAACGCACCTCTCTCTCGGCAACAGCCAGAACTATAGATCACTCATTCCAGTATGTATAGAGTTCACTGGGTAAATCCTAAAGGAATCCTGATTCGTCCATTTTCTAACAGACGACTGGTTGAATCTCACCAGATTTGCTTTCAGTGCGGAGTAAAATTCGTAAAAGATTGGAGTTACGAACAATCCAAATAACTCGATTACCAATTGTGAGCCCCAAAATGGGTTGCCAACTGTCTTCTTTTTTTCCCCCCAGAGTACGAGTCTCGAAGAGAGACGATTGTAATAATGAATCCTTTTTCGTAGACACTGATTATTATTCATCCTCGATATCTTCCAGAATGCTCATCAGCTCGGTTCTCTTCCTGGCAGTCTGGACTAGTTCGTCATTCGCGGAAGAATCGTCCCCCAACGATGCCGCGTCCGCCAAACGGGCGCCTATGGGATTTCAGGGTATGCGCGGCAAGAAGGACCTCATCCCCACGATCGCAGAACACAACGAGTTTTCCAAAAGAGCGTTAGTGGATTTTCAGGTAGGCCACTGTTAAACTTTTCTATTAAAATTAACGCGAAGGAAAGACGGGTCTAGTTTGTATCTTTCGAATTATTTTTGAGAGGGCGATTCCGGTGATTACAGAGTAAGGACTCGAACGTGCCCGACACCGAAGACAATCTCCTGCACGACGAGTTTGACAAGCGAGCGCCGATGGGGTTTCAGGGTATGAGGGGGAAGAAGGATTATTTGATACCTGATTTCGAAGACTCCTACTTCCGCGAGGACTACGAGAAGAGAGCGCCAATGGGTTTTCAGGGTATGAGAGGCAAGAAGGCCGCGCTGGAGGATGAATACTATAAACGTGCACCTATGGGGTTTCAAGGAATGAGAGGGAAGAAGTCTTTGGAAGAGGTGAGCTTGATTACTCAATGTTAATTGGATTAGTACGCTGGGAGAGCTTAGGGCGGTGATAGATCGACTTCTAACTTATAAGATTCCTCTTGAACACGAGGCTGTTGACAAAGTGAATGTTACAAATTACAGACTTAGTTCGCTCTTTCTCTGACTTTGTCGATTTGTCTTTCTCGAAGAACGCGTAACCAGCATGAAAAGATTTCTGGCTGTCCAAGCGCTTCAAATAGTCGCGCGCCTCTTAAATTGACGGAGTTTAATCTGCCTGAAATTGAATCGTCGTCGTGTATATTTTATATTTTACTGAGAAATGCCAAACTGCAGGTGTTGAGCGAGATTGAAAAGAGGGCCGCGATGGGCTTTTACGGTACAAGAGGGAAGAAAACATACATTTTCGAGTATCCGCAAGATTATGAAAAGAGACTGCTTGCTATGGGAGCTCAAGATATGCGCGATAAGATGAAAGAATTTCCAGCGGAGTGGGAGAAAAGGGCCCCTATGGGATTTCAAGGGATGAGAGGCAAGAAAGCATTGCTTGACGAGATCGAGGAACTTGAGAAACGCGCCCTTATGGGTTTCCAAGTAAGTCAATCAAGTGCTTAGTTCAATTGCTCAATTAATTGCGTAATCAAAGAAAGGCAAGTATATATGCGAATAACTTTGCGCTGTGATTATTACGAAAGAATGCAATAGTTTACCTTTAACAGAGTCAACTAATTGATGCAAAACACTGATAAAAAAATGAAAGAACAAAAAACTTTTAGTGACTATTTAATCAATGACTGTTTCAGGGCATGAGAGGCAAGAAGGACGCCTTTGAAAATTATATAGATTATATAGATCCCGACGTGGATTTCGACAAGAGAGCATCAATGGGTTTTCAAGGGATGAGGGGCAAGAAAGACACTGACAAGAGGGCACCGAGGGGTTTTCAAGGTATGAGAGGCAAGAGGAATGTAGGACAAAGACTTGAGACCGGCATGGATTTTGGAAGCCGATCACTGAACGAATATGAAGGTAGAGTCAATGCTTCTATGCGATCTGTAAGAATTAAATAAGGGAGAAGACTTTGGAACTTTGTTATTGATTCTTCGTGGAACGTTCATGCTACAATCATTAATGGTCTTACAAAATAATGCGTTTGTAAGATGAGTATTTTATTAATAACTTAATAAATACTTGGCTATTTATTTCGAAACTCGTGCGAGCTTAGCTTCATAAATCCTGCTATAATTATTATAATATATCGAAGGTTGTGTTGTCTTTAGTATGGATTTTAATATGAAAAGTAGTTAATGCGGAAAGTTAGCGAATGTTCCTCCTTTTACACGAGAGAGAGGTTTTGAGAAGCTCGAGACGCGACTACTGGCTAACCGAAACGAAATAAAAACTATTGGCGCGCGGGAGTAACCTTATCGCGGTTATCGCCGATATGTATTTAATTAAATAACATTGTTGTAACGCAATGAGAAATATTTTCTTTCGTTTTTATATCGCTCCACGCTCCGGGGTGTTTTATGAAACAGGTTAAACGCTTCCCGAATGCCCCTTGTTAACGCCACTAGACGATATAGTCGATCGATATTCCATCTCCAAGTGGAGAGCACGCGTAACGAAGGCTTCCCAAATATTTGTCTTGTTATTCATGCACCTCCGAATAAATTCTGTAGCGAGACGACAGACGACAAGCCTTTTGCTTTTTCCTCCCTTGTCCGCTCGCGTTTGCTCGCCGTGCGATTTTGAGCCCGAAATGGTCACACTGGCCCACGTTGTGTTTCCCCCGAGCAGGAGTGGGCGATAGAAGACACGCTCTAGCCCTGTGCCAGGTCGAAAAGCGATCGCCCTACCGATATTTTGAGATGCGCGGTAAGAAAAATCCACGATGGGAGTTACGGGGGATGTTTGTGGGGGTGAGAGGCAAAAAGTGGGCGAGAGCTCCGTACGAGGACAACGGCTCGTTCGTAAGGGTGTTTGATAACACCGAAAGGATCGGCGTGGATGGGGATTCGCCAGCAACATTAGGTAAACCGATCAGCTGACAGCCAATTAGTGGCAAGCATTCATGTCGCGATTCTCCTTCTCGCTTCGTTTTGTCTTTCGCGCGTGCCTAATGGCCGGTTGTGCTTCTAAGTATTTATCCAGCGTCAAGCTGGTTATTGGAATGCGTTGGCGGAAAAAGTGATAAAGAGGCGTCGAGTTAAAAGAAGTTTTATCTCCCTTCGCTAAAATCTTCCACGTACAACGTACAATAAAGCATTCGCAGAAGTTCTTGATATGCTAAATATGTTATATTTGTTTTTATTTTGCATGCAACGCATCGAGCACTTTAAGTGTACCCACAATCAATATACTTGTAATGTATATCGGTACATTTTATTTTTTCGCTTACTAATAAAACGTTTACCCACCGCTTCTGAATTCTACGCTTCTTCTACATTCTATGATTAACACTCGTAATCACCCGTTTAAGAATTATTCCGCACTGTTAATGCTGTGAAAATATTTTTTTCCTCGACCGTACGGGTGTCAAGTGACATTTAGAACAAAGCTATGGATTATCTTTCTCGCAACTGTGGGACAATAGCGGCGCAAGGGTCCGCTTTAAAAGTTTCCCCGCGGCATATTGTCATCGAAAAGTTGCTCACCATTGTGCGCAGATGATTGCGCTAAATAGCGATAAAATTCTACGTTCTAACTTTGGGATGACAGTTTGACTGTTTATAAAAACCAGTTATGCACAATTCTGTTATATCTACTCCAATTAAATTGCGTAAACATTTCATCAGTCTTGGATCGCAACATCTAATCTATAAATTTAGCTGTTTTATTTTCGTTCAAAAGAGATCCCAAACAATACGTATTTTTAGGTCGTCTTTCAAATATGTATGTCTAAAAGACGACTTAAAGACGTCCTAAAGATGTCTTTTAGACGTGCGTGCTGCATGGGATAATAAGGATCAAATAATTAATTACCTAAGAAAGTACACGTTAAATATTCCCTTAAACGTTTTTTCGACTGCACATATAATTTTTTATTGGTGTCGTGGTATTGTATGTACACACACACACACACACACACACACATACACACACATACACATTACATGTATTATGCAAGTGTGTACCAAGAGTTTTTGATTTTAATCGAAAAGTGTTAAGTAAATAGATAACGTAGAGACTCTCTTTTACGAGATATAAAATAAGCCTGTTAATTGCGTAGTAACAAGAATCGCTCTTTTTAGATAAAAAGTTTAGTTCTCCGTGTAATTGATACTAAATAGGCGACTGTAGAATATAATGTCGATTCCGCAAATACTTGGAAGATATATCATAAATACTATTTTCCGCTTTGTGTTTCAGATTCACAATAATACAGCAGCTCTTAGAAACGGTAACGAAACTGTTACGAGACGTCTCCTCCAAATAATTAAACCGATGTAGCTAAATCTAAGAACGAGAAAAAAAAAGAAAAGATGACGCGTCTATCAGTTATGATGATGGGTGGAAGAATGCTGTCGTCTATTGATTTTCAATCCGTTAATTAAGGCTTCGTATTATAGTTATTTTTATATATCATAAGCCGATCTTGGTCTAGTCACTGTAGCTTGCTATACGTACGCTATCACTTATATTTCGCCGCTATTATAAGATTCAGAATTGCGTGCGTTGGACGCAGGTCGCAAGCTGCGCGTTGCAGATACAATCGCAGCTGAGGGCGTAAACTCGAAGCGTATGAGCACAATGTACGGAAGAAGAGTTCTACGATGGTGTTTCATAAACAGTATTTCACGAAACTCTTGCTGCGATTTCCTGAACAACTCTTCCGTGAGAAAATTACATTTACGTGTAATTAAATTGTCTGAATATATTTGTTTCGTCCTACACTTATCTCTTGCCAAGATATATTTCGAGGGGTTTCACACGTGAAGAAGAAATACTTTTTACGATTGTCATAATTGACGACAAATTTTCCATATCAAAAAAACACATAAATCTGAAATGAATTTCAACTAAATTATACGGAAATTTTAACCAAAATTAACTACGTTAACAATGTTTAAGTACTTGTGGTACTGTATTACGTGTTAAATTAAAATTTCTGTAAAAAGAAATTGTTATTAACGGGTAAAGAGGACATGCTTAAAATTAGATCCATAAAAATGTCTGAATTTCTAAATGTTAAATAAGCTTGTATTTAAAAAAGATTGTATGTTTAAGTAGAAATATTTAACTACAATACTGCTGAATTTTGTGTATTTTTTAAATAAAGACTGTGTGCATTAATCAGAAACAAGAAAGTTCGTTACTAATTGAAACATGAAAATCAGCTCTTAACTTGTGATCTAATATAGTTACGAAAACTTTTTACTTACATGCATTCACTATTTAAGTCCTCCGACCTGTGTTGCAAACGACACGTTATACTGGCGATGTGTAATTAGCGAGATTATACTACGAAGATATCTTCCGCCGATTATAATTGTACATGTCAGCGAAGTCTTTCAAAAGATGCCTATCAGTATTATTGTTAATTTATACCAGGATGTACAGTGTAACAATCATAGTGGTGATGCATTCTTGAATGAATTTGTAAAAATGATTATTCGTTAACAAAGAGATTCAAATAAAAATTGGTAGTAATTTTGGGACACTGAATATCTTAAACATGAAAATGTTTGAATAAAACTTAAAAAGAACGTTGCTTTTAAATTGACAAGTGGCAAGAGTTAAAATTAATGCTTAAAATTAAGTTTACGAAAAGCATTTAAATTCTTAAATTTGCATAAGCAATTGAATAAGCAGACTTAAAAAAATCACGTAAATAAAGTAACTTTGTTGTTAAGGAAAAATCGATTTGAAATTCATGGAAAAGTGCATTTCTACTATTAATCTTTTATGGAACACACTCGGTGTATTTATATAAATCTCGTGCAGGATTTGTTCTATTTTAATTTATGGACACATATCGGCACAATTACGACAAAGTAATTTCACGTTCTCGACTTCGAGAAATAAAATGTAAACGGGGAACAGATGGCGTGTAAGCTAAGATTGAATAGTATATAAATATCTAGCGTATCTCGTGACATAGATAGGAATTATATTTTTCTCTGAATGTTAATCGGTAATTGTTATCGTAGATACGATTACGTATTTGTAATTATTGTCCGTATCGTTTTATTTTCGTTTCTTCAAACGAGATGCAGAATTAATTGACGTTAGAAGGTGATTATTTTTGTGGCCATTGGTTGCGCTCTACGAGAAGAAATTTAAATCTGATCCTGCAGAGACGCTCTTCAGTAACCTTGATCTGAAACATTTTGCTTCACATTTAATTTCTACTAATTTTTATATATTTTCTCTAATAGTAACGCGAATGTTACAATGTTGTAATAATAGCGTATTGCATATAATAAATTTCTTGTTGAAAGGAATTATAACTTAAAAATTTCCATCATACAGTATGTGAGATTTACGTTGTCATGTACCTATGTTTGTTGCATATCTTGTTATAAAATAATAAATTGCTTCAGGCTCTAATATTTCTATAGCCCATAATGTTTTATTCATGTCCTTTCTTTAACTATCTTATAAATATATAATTGCGAACATTTAGCCTAATTAACCATGTACCATTGATTAGAAGTCGTACACTTTTTTTCCATTCGACGTTATGTAAATCTTTCTGGATTCGTCACGAATTGAGTGAGAAACATAGAAAAATTACCATGAAAACGTTGCAAATTCTGATTGTAATTAGCATAAACGATAATCAATAAATGGCTGTCATGAATGATTTTGTAACATATTTCCAAACATTTAAGTACCCATTTACGTACATCTAACGCGTGTTAGTTGACAAATAATTGCAGCAATTTAGGGAACGGCAAAAATCGTTCATTCGTTCTTTCCTTGACACATCGAATTAGTCTCTTGACTCGTGGCAATCTTTAACTAAGATGAGATCTACCAATAAGACAAACAACTAAAGTAATACTAAACGCAACTCTCTTTAGAGATGCGTTACAAAACTCTTGCAGGACAAAAAGCGGGTTAGTAAGCGGTATGGCCATAGGGTGTGCAGAGCCTACTGCCTCTCATAAACCTACTATCCACTGTAAAAACACAATTTGTCCTAAAAATACCGAAAATATTAGCAAGACTTCTACTATCTGTCCTTAAAATGCTGATCCTTCTTTTGACACCCGGTATGCTTCGGTTGACAAACACTAGATGTAATGACTTTCCCACCGTTGTCGTGCTTTATATTATGACAGCAACACATGTCCAGTGCTTCAGATCTCGGTGATTTCTCGAGGTAGAAGGTTCGCGATTACACTGACAGTATATTTTCAGTATTAAAATCTTACTGTGATGAGGTATTTTAACCACAGTTAACAGTGAAACAAAGAATTGCACCTACTCGCGACATAATTTTCATAATAGGTGAGTCATTATAAAAGCAGTATACCTATAACGTGTAACACTTTGAAAATTTAGCAACGTTTTAAAAAGACCATTTCAAAGAACGAGTATACCTAACGAGCACTTTCATTTTTCGTCAATATTACTTTCGAAGTCAACAATTTTTTCCCTAAAATTAAAGTACATAATACTGTCGCGTCAATTGTTGTATACGTTGTATTATATGTATATTGTAAATTGATATAAAGGGAATTTCAAATTTATATTTTATCACGATCTCGTCATGTAGTCTGAATTTGGATGATTTAATTGAAACGAGAGACCTACATTTGTGAAATAAAATACACTTTGTATTCATTAGAAAGTAACAAAAATTAAGAGAAAAAAAGGTCTAACCTACAAAATACAATGCAGGACAAAGTAAAAATATTTCTCTAAGACATTTATTTTATAAAGCAATAGTACAATTACCAAATGACATTATAATAGATATTTGTTAATATTCACCATAGAAATATTTCAATTAATCGAACATTGTTACATGAAGCAAGAAATTACTGATGATAGTAATGGATAGCAAATTCGGTAAATTTCTTCGATGATAGTTCTTCACCGTTTGCTTAGTTTGTACGCACCTTTATATTATGCGATAAACAAGCTGTGCAACGTCAAATAGCGGTAGCGACGATTATTGCTGTGACGTTAGAGAATTTCAGTACAGATTGGCATCGGGAAATGTTACACATCTTAACTATCCGCGTTATCCTAAGGCATGCGGAAAGAAAGCGTCGGCATAAAAATTTTATTAAGAATTGAAACTGATGCGAACCACTACAATGATAGAAGGATCTACAAACTATATTTTGTATTAAGAAATGTCTTATAGAATATAATAAAGTTTTTACAGATATCTATAGAAGAAATCATTAAATAGCGATGAGTACGTGGATTTGGTGGATTATATATTTTTGCACGCCATACGTTTGCGCAAATATCAATGAAACGGAAAAACACGAATTACTGTATTACGTAATACCAGTAACCTATGAAGTTAAATTAAATTTATCTACAATTGAGAACGGTTTCTTCGATGGCTCGTGCTCTATTGACATCAGACTCGATCAGCCAACGGACTACATAAAGTTCCACTCGTCACAATCACAAATAAAAATACAAACATTAATGCTTCGTCCGCTTCGTAAAAAGGGTTTACCATCTCTAAATACGACACATCACGAACATAAAAATGATATTATGACCATCTATTTCACTGAACAGTTGCCACGTGGGATTTACGCGTTGTTCATAAAATTTTCTACCAGCTTGTTTAATGACGAAGTAGATCTGTTTAAAACTTCAAATACAAATGAAAACGGAAACCAAATGTGAGTAAATGTTAATACTAACAAAAAGAGTACAAAATGTAAAAGAAAGTACTTTCTAAGACCACAACCGTTCAAAAATATTGGACTTCTTATAATTATAATTCTACATTAATGTATAAAATATTTATCATTTCCTTTTGATACCATGGAAAAACTTGAAAGATTTGTTTGATCATAACCAAACAAGAAATTTAGTTGAGCCTACAAAATTTTGTTTCATTCAACAAAATGGGTCTCTCAGTGTAGTGATAGACCTAATAATATGATTATGTTCCATTGGATTTAAATTCCTAACATATATCTACCATTATTTTCCATACCCAACGTTTAATTATTATAAGTACAATTACACAAGTGTGATAAAATACAATGGCATAATTATAGTTGAAATATATAATAACATTCCGGCACACGTTAAGAAATTGTTTTTCACCTATCTCTCCTAAATTAAAGTTTTATGTTTGTAATATGCTAAATTGTTAAGTCGACACTCATTGAGCATCATTATCTAACATATCATTAAATTATGACAGATGGTTGCTTGCATCACTGAACCGGATGACTGGGGCCCGACGAATATTTCCATGTTGGGACCAATCCACTTTCAAGGCCACATTTAAATTATTTATACAGCATCTTGGGAAACACGAAGTTTTAACGAATATGCCTGTAAATTCGACAACAACGCTGTCTGACATAACGAGTGTGAAATTTGCAGAAACTCCTTTAATTCCCCCTTATCTTATCATGATTTTGATAACCGATGCCTCCCAAAGGCCTGTCAAAGAAGTCAGTTTTTACTACAGACAACAGACAGCATCACTTTTAAATTACGCAGAAACAATTATTGAAAATATCACGCTAAAAGTGGAATCTCAATGGAAACCTCCCATAGAGCTTGAAAAAATATACCATGTTGCAGTACCTAGCGTTCGTCATGACAGTATAAATAATTTGGGTTTTAATCTTTACAGGTAATACATATGGTATAATTAGAAAGAAAGATACTTACCAGGAATGAATAATTTTAACCTAGAAAAAAAGATACTATTTCTACATAAAGAAATATAAGATATTTAGACTAGTGAAACAAAATAACACTTTTTACTGCTCAATATTAATTACTATTTCGAATTTATAAATTATTTCTAGAGAAGCTGCTCTAATTTATGATGAGAAATTGGATACTATTACACACAAAATAGATGTTGCGCGAATAATAACACGTACAATATTTCATCAATGTTTTTATAATTCGACCAGCTATTCTTCATGGTCTAATTTGTGGTTTACTGAAGGAATGGTTATGTTACTGACGATAGAAGCCATCAACAATGTAAATTCTTAACTATTCTCTACTGGTTTATTTACACAAGTGTTCATATTAGTGTTTAACATTATACAGCGTTATCCACATTTTGCACAAATTTTGGGATACTAGAGATTATTATGTGGTGATTGTAGTAATATTGTAGAAAGTAATCGGAGATTTAAGTATTTACGACAAGTGTTGTAAAAAAATTGAATCTTCTGTTTACCTTTAAAATAAACAATGCAAATGTTTTCCTTCATTGATCATCCCTTCATCAATCAATTGTGTCAAATTTTTTCAGTTTTATCCAGATTTACGAATAAGTGATCTGTTTACCGTCCAGATTCAACAAGAATCTCTCCGACTGGATACTAATTCCATTATGAAGCCACTTGCGTCAGAAGCTTACGATCCTGAATTAAGTTCACTTTCTCCTTTTTCGTATTACATCAAAGGTAGACATTTGCAATTATACAATTATAAGCAAAACGTAAATAGAGGAAGATAATAAAAAAAACGTCTTCTTGCAATCTGAATTTCAAATTATTCTTTGTGTGAAGAAAGAGCTATTTGTACGAATTTAAATACTCCGTATATTATAATAAATGTCTTCAAAATTAAATTAACTCAACATTGTTTACGATATGTACCATCGTAGCACCTGTTATAATGCGCATGCTGCACCATGTTGTGGGTCATAAGATGTTTTGGGACGTCATTGAGAAACTGTTTAATAAAAGACAAAATATACCGTAAGTAATGCAAATTACTTTCTGTAAACGTCAATTTAAACAGGTTGTACATAATTAACAAATTTCAAAGAATAAAATATATGTATATTGACATACTTACGCATGTCATTTCGTTATTTTAACATATTTCTTTCTTTATTTTGAATACTTTATTATTTTAACTTTGTGGCTTATATCCATCATAGTTATGGTCTTCTTTTTCTAGATTTATCATTGATGATTTTTGGGATATATTACTTATTTTGTATCCCTCGCATAATCAATACATTTTTAACGTAAGGAATAAAATGAATCCATGGATTCAGTTGATAAATTATCCGGTGCTGAACGTGGTGCAACAGAAATCTTCCCAAGTGAAAATCTTCGTTAAAAGTACGCTGTATCAATCGATGGGAATACCTGTAACATTTACCACTCTACGTAATCCCAATTTTAATAACATGCGCCCTAATATTAATATGTGGATAACATCATCCAATAAGACTATTTATATTCAAAATTCGACTGATTGGATAATAATCAACACACAGCAAGCAGGTAAGCATCATAAAAGTAATTTTCTTAATTTTCGAGGAGACCGTTGTATGTACACACAAATAACTTTTGCTGAAAGTTCGTAAAATACGATTTGCATCTGCATTGTCAAAAATAATGAGAACATAATAGCTTTTGGTTTACAATTTGCAATATATATTTCTTAATTTAAATATATGATGAAATTGTTTCAAAGAATTGGTTTTACTTTACATATTATACTAAAATGGCTTCTGCATGAAGGAGCGGACATTGTGGGTGCTTTGGTGGGTCTTCTTTTATATTTATAAATTTACATGGTTTTTTTTCATAAAACATACTACTTAATGCATTACTGATCAAATATATTGATGTGCGAAATTATACAGGGTGAGTCTTTCCATATCCGACAAAATTTTTGAGAAGGTAGAACGGATCGAGATGAACGGAAAAGTCCTGTACCATTTTGCAATTTTCGTAATAGTTAACGAGTAATTAATTATTAAAAATCGTTGTTTTAGGCTGGCCTACCGCCCAATT